TAATGCAGATAAAATAATGATAGCTAATATTTGCTGAACACTTAGTCCATGCTTACCAGTATTCTGAGTCTGGTCCTTATATTCTCTCATTTAATCCATGCAGTGTACTGTGAGGAGAAACAGTTATTATCATTTTTAAACATATGAGTAAGTCCATGCTAAGGGAGGCTAATTAAAGTGTCCAGGTTCACATAACTAGTAATGGGTAAATCTGGAATTGCAACCCAAGTAATTTGTTTCTAAAGCTTATTTGCTTAAGACTCTAATTAGTGCTCTCAGGAAAGAAAGAGAAAAGCTAGTCTATAAATCTAGCAACCTGAGTTCTGTTCCAACTGTATCACTATAATAGTTGACTAGGACAAAACAAATATTCTTTTACGGTCTCAATTTAGTGGTAGCATGAAGGCTTTAAGCTAGGTGATATTCAAGACCTGTTGCAGCATTATAATCTTTAATTAAGTTATACTTTGTTCCAAAATATGAAAGATATAAATGTCATTGTTATTAAAGAATTCATAAGGTAGTTGTGAAGATAAAATATGTTAAAAAAACTATTAGTGAGCACAGATTTCTTTTGTGCCTTTTCTAGCTAAACTATCATCGCCTTTTTTGTGCCTTCATAGTAAAAGAGTTTTATCATAATATGCTGTAATTTTTTCATTTGTATTACCTCCACTTCTATTGTATTCACGGAGAGATATTTGAGGCAAAAATGATATCTGTTTACCTCTGTTTTCTCAGTACTAAGCAATATCTGGTATTTAATATAGCCCCAATGAATTATTGTTTCAAATCATGGTTCTCAATCTACTTAAGAATGGCTTTAGGGCTTATCAAAGATGTTCCACCAAATGACTTATTGACTTAGGTTTTTTGATTATGAGGCCTGAGAACCTATATCAGTACTGTTTTGTGGGTTCTTATGTGCCTGATACATGTGTTTTTCAATTACACACATGACAATGAAATTTCTTAGACCAAAAAGGGCTACAGCACAGGTTCTGGAAGTGTGATTTCTGTAAAGTGCTCTAAAAAAATAAATGCTGTCACCCCAAACTATGTGATTAAAAAAAGGGATATCGCAATTGCCTCTTAGAAAAATCACTGTTTTATAGCATATAAAAGGCTCTGAATATCCTACAATAAAAACAATAATGCTTACTTTGTTTAAGAAAGCATTTCTCAATTATATTTAATCTTGTAACTTGCCTTACACGATTCAGAAAAGAACTTGTGGAGAACAGGGGGGCAATATGGATTATGTCTGAATGAAAACATCTATATAATTGAATGGGCAAGAGCAAGGCAAATGATAAGATAAAAGCACATAAGTGTAAATGTGGAACTTGAATTAAATGCTCCAACTAGAGCTGATTTCACACGTTTTAATATTGGAGAGAAATTTGAAAAAGTATATTGTGCCAAATAATGGCGAGCTGGATGCCAAAGAGGGGATTTCAGGCTAAGAATGCTTAATGATCTTTCTGAGAGTGAAGTTTCCAGATGTTGGACTCCATGAAAACACTCTTCCTCCTCTTAAAACCATGATTCAAAATGAATATGGAACTTCCATTTGACCCAGTGATCCCCCTTCTAGCAATATATACTAAGAAAACCAAAAGGCCAATCAGAAAGAATGTGTGTACCCCTAAGATCATAGCAGCACAATTTACAATAGCCAAGATCTGGAAACAGCCCAAGTGCCCATCAATAGATGAGTGGATAAAAAAGTTGTGGTACATTTATACCATGGAATACTATGCAGTAGTAAAATAGAAGAATCTCTTACCCTTTGAGACAGCATGGATGGACGTGGAGAGTATCATGCTAAGTGATATAAGTCAGCCAGAGAAAGATAAATATCACATGATCTCACTCATATGTGGAATCTAAGTAACAAAATAAACTGATGAACAGAGTGGATCCAGAGACATGGAAGGATAGAACAGAGTATGGAATCTTGGAGGGAAGGAGGGGAAGTATGGGTGGGTGGGAAGTAATCAACCAAGAACTTTATATGCATATATGCATGACCCATAGCCACAGACAATGGGGCAGTGAGGGCCTGGGGCAGGGGGTGAGGTGGGCTGCAGGGAGTCAATGGGGGACAAAGGGGGAAATACATAATACTTTCAACAATAAAGAATTATTTTTAAAAAATGATAAGTAGGCAATTGAAAAATATCAGAATACAAATAAAAATTTAGAATTAATATTATATGGAGATCAAACAATTTGAAATTTATAGCTGACTTAATGACTTCAAAGCAATTATTATTCACATCCAAAAATTTGAATTTCTTTTGCTGATATATTTTAATGGAGAAAACTCCTTTTAACTTTTTTTAATTGCAAGTGCAGGCAAATGTAGAATAAACAACTAAATAGAAATATGAAGACTATCTCTAGTTAAAACAATTTGGATATGTTCATTTTAATGTATGTTCATTTTTAAATACTGCTTTTAAATTTTATTTGCTTATATTTAGTTCTTAAAAACATAAAATGACAATAAATTTGGTCATAGCTAATATGTGTTAGAGAAGCTGGCATAATCATACCACATTTATTAGGAAAACAAAATTGCTGTGTTAGTGTTTCCAAGATTGGAGGGTCAGAAAGGCAAGGTGGAATGTTCTAATTTATTTTAGTGAGTTAGATAATCTTTTGATTTCTATTTATTTTTTATTACTTTTTTTGTTTGTTTTATATATCCATCATCATCTCTAATATCGACAGCCAGGGATTTCTCCATAAATTTACTTGAAAAGAACAGATTGTGTGTTTTTCTTGATGTATTTCACTACATATGTTGGCTTTTCTAAATGAAGATATACTAAAAATAATTCAAGATAAAAAATAGAACTCATTAGTTTCTGAAGAGCTTCTCGTGTATTATTATTTGATAATTTGAAATTTTCAAAATATGTGCAAAGTAACATAGATCTACACAAACCTTAGGTAGGAATTCCAGCATTGCCCTTTGCAAGGTTGACAGGTATTTTCAGACTCAGGTCTGATTTCAACTTTTGGGTCTGAGAGCTCTTTTTAGATCTCTGCTCACACAATTCTACCTTTTGTTTAGTTTTTATCAAAAATATATTTTGCATTTTTAAAAAATATTTTATTGGTTTTTTTACAGAGAGGAAGGGAGAGGGATAGAGAGCTAGAAACATCAATGAGAGAGAAACATTGATCAGCTGCCTCCTGCACACACCACACTGGGGATGTGCCGGCAACCAAGGCACATGCCCTTGACCGGAATCGAACCTGGGACCCCTCAGTCCGCAGGCTGACGTTCTATCCACCGAGCCAAACTGGCCAGGGCTTTGCATTTTTGTCATGCTTAATTAGGATTCAATGAAATGTTGGCTAGCAAAGGAACAACATTTTTATTATCTTTATAATCCACTATCACCTGCTTTTATGCATATACTTCTGAAATAACTAATACAAAATACACATTTTTACAATGATTATTTATGTTATCCCTGTATTTGTTAAATGTTTTTTTTTTCTGAAAACCTTTATCTTTTTTCTAGTGTGTGGTTAAAATATCTGAGCACAATTATCAATGTCAGAATATATGAGAAATATTTTACGTTTAAGCTGCATATTCCAGTTTTAACCATAGATAGTAATTTCATACTGTGCCGCTCCAGCACGGCCAAAGGTGAACCTGAGGAGGCGCACTGAAGGATTGAAGAAAAGACAGATAAGAGAATACAGCTGGGGCTCAGTAGATCTCCTGTGCCTGGATGAGGACACAAAAGACCCAGCCTGCAAGCCGATGTGTTATTTTATAGTCTGATTAAAACAAGGATAGATTAACATGTATACACATGTTCTTGTTTTGGCAATACTTGCTGCACCTTCCACAGCCCATTAGCTATTTAGGAAGGAATTAGGGAGGGCTACAAAGTCAGGCTTAATTATGCTAGGAGAGCTCTGCCCTCCAGGCTGGGAGTTGTTTGTGTCCCTGCCACAGGTCAGACCGAGGCTTTACCCTAGAGCTGCTCCCTACATCATACCATATTATTTTAATTATGCAAAAAGAAAAGATGAGGTCTGGGAAAAATAATTCGGTTAATAGATTTTAATTTTAGAGTTGGAGGGTGAAAAGTCCATTAAAGATCCTATATCTAACTCCAATATTAAATAATAGAGATAAGGAAATATTCCAAAAGTGCTTTTTCTACTATGATAAAAATAAATGGTTTAATTAAATAGAAAGAAATTTCTAAGTAATCTCTGTACATCTTCACACACACATAATATAATACACTATTTGTATATTATGGGGTACAATATTTATGTTTAGCTCAATTAGCTTTAGTACCAATATTACTTTCTTAATTTTACTATTTATTGCCCACAGTATATATATTCTACACCAGAATTTCCAATAACATAATTTCAATCAGTGCTGCCTAAGAGAACTTTCTGTGATGATGTAAGTGCTCTAGATCTATGCTATCGGATATGGAGCCACCAGACACATTGTTGTCAAGCCCCAGAAATGTGCTGGTGTGACTGAGGTGCAATGCAGTCCATTTAATCTTACATATCTTTAATTAATTTAAATTTGAAGAGTCACAATTAGCTAGTGGCTAACACATTGGACAATTGCAGAGTTAAGCAAATATAATGCACTCCTCTATAATTCATTTAGAATTTTTCATAAATGACATACCAAAAGAGAATCATATATCTGGAAAATTTTACTATCTAACATTATAGATGGATTTTGAAGGTTTACATGTGTTAGCAATATATATTATATATGAGTTTGTATACTAAAGAAAACATGTTTAAAATTATATGGACATTTAAAAGTATGAAAAAATCATTAGAAAACTTTCCCTTACATGTGCTTCTTAGAAGCTACAGTTCAGAGAAATTAATTAATTGGGGATAGTTAAGCAAAGAAGTGAAATATTGTGTGAGGTTTTACTCCTTAAGTGTCTGTAAACAAAATGGCTATTGACTTTCTTTCCTAGGTATTTGTATTGGATTGACTGCTGTGAGTATCCGCACATTGGCCGTGTTGGAATGGATGGAACCAATCAGAGTGTTGTCATAGACACCAGGATTTCTAGACCTATGGCACTAACTATAGATTATGTCAACCATAGACTCTACTGGGCTGACGAAAATCACATTGAATTTAGCAACATGGATGGATCTCATAGACATAAAGGTTGGTACAATAGCACAAATGATTAAGTATTTTGCCACTTCATAAAATATTTTAGAAAAAATATGTATATATATATTCATTACATATACTTTCATCAAATATGTTTCACAATTTAGTGTTAATTATCATACTCATTTATGATAATATTGGTAAATAAGAAATCAGATATATTTATTGAAAACTTCTATAATCATGCATAAAAAGCATTTTGACAGTCTAGGTTTTCTCTAATTGTACTTTCCTAAGTAGTTTTTATATATAAATGGACAAAATATAAGTTAACATAAACATGCATTCTAATTGAATTTAAACAAGAATATTTGCTTGTAAACATAAGGCTTTTATTACAATCTAATAGGGTTGAGTTTTCTTAAAACACTAAGTAAAAGTACAGTTCTTTAAAGAAACAAGCAATATTATTTAAAAGTTATCAGTTATATTAAAACATGATTAAATTGGTTGTTATCTAATAAACAATGGCAACAAAAATTAATGTGGAAACAACTTTCAAATTGGAATAACATTAAGAAATGTTCATAATTTAAATATGAATAAATACAATTTGGCAGATACTTTTTCTATATTTTGTAATTCGGAGTAGATTAAAAGCTCTAAGTATAAAACAATTGAAGGAAGAGCGTATGAGGGAGTTAACACTAGAATTAGAGATCAGAGAAAACATAGCTGAGGATGGGAGAACTTTGGGGGGCAGTAGAGAATGACAGAATAAAGAAGAAAGAGGTAGAGATGAAGATGAAATGGATATGACAGAAACCACAGGCAATTCAAATGAACACTCAAAATATGTAGGTGGCTTTTTAAGGATTAGATTTTTTTTCTAAGTAAAGAAATCAGTTTTTATTAATCTTTAATGACCTATTGTCACCTTTTCACCTTCAAATATCTCCTGAAGTACAGCTTTCACAGGGAGGCCCCAAAGAAAGCCTACATATCCGTGTGGTTTAGCTTATCAGATTGTTTTCTTCTCTGCAGTAACCTTAGAACAATAGTCCAGGAGCAGGAAAGGTGAGGAAGAGAGGTGAGGCCTGGAAATGTATGGTGTCCTGAGAAGGATGGGAACACTAAATAAATAATTAAAATCAATTAATTAATTAGCTCATTAATAAAACTTAATAAGTCACACCATTTCATAATTTTTCCCAAGTCCCTTTCAGCTAATATTTCAACAGCTATATTCTTCTAACTAAACATGCTGACAGCTTTTAGAGGTTCTTTTTTAAGGGTAAGAAGCTTGAGGTCTGACAAGTGTAGTTGAATGAGTCACACATATGGGTGCTGGCATTCCAATTATAGATACAAAGAAACTCATCAGGATGCAATTGGAGTGCAGAACGATTTAAAGATCACTTTAGGATTTTAATTACAGCCAAAGCAATGTTGACAACTCCAAATCACACTTAGTGTGTGCAGCAGTTATATATCCTGCAAAGACAGTAATGTAATGTTCTGCAACATACCTAGATGATATTATTGAAAGTTTTATTGTGGCAATCAGTATTTTTCTTAGATAACCATGAACCTGTCTATTTTTAGCCTCTATATACAGTACTAGGTGTTGTGAATGTATTACTTTGTGCCAAAATTTTACTGTACAATTAAATGTAAATAATTTCTTGTCAGATATCAGAGCAGCAAGTATTTGCCTGTTTTTATTTAAACCTTAGTGTTGGAGTAACAAAAACTGTAGTTAAAAATGTTGTCTACTAGAAACTATTGATTGCATCCCCTACTCATTGTTTAAAAATTATGTCAGATATGTAGGTGACTACTACTTTGACATCTTAATACAAAATTAAATGCATGTACATGAAGTGTTCCTTAATTATAGAATTGATGGTGACTTTGGGTAGAGGGGCATATATAGCAAGAGAACATGGTACTAAATCTATTAAAGAGTGAAATATTTAGCTGACAGATATGCAGGTATGATGTTAACATTTTAAAATTTGATTTTGAAAATACTTTGAGGCTTAAGGATTGCGGGTGGGAAAGAAAAGTAAAAGAGTTGCTGCCTTTAGAAATATTTTCTCCTAAAGGTTTTCAGAAGAAGACTAATGAGAAATTCATTAAGTGTCTTATCAGGCATCTGCCAGCATCTGAATGCAAGCCAATAATTACTTGGTAGTTACTAATGTGCTACTAATTGTAGGCAGCCTAAATTATGTCAACTCCACATCCAATGGGGAAAAAAGCCATTTATTTTCCATATTTATAAAGAGAAATAGGATTTTTATGCTTCTTGTATTTGCCCCATAAAGACATAGAGAATGCTGCTGTTTTCTAGATGTGATTTGGAGGTGGAAAATAAGATATGTTAAAATAACTTGTCTATTAGTGTGGTCACTGACTTTTCTTTTAACTAAAATAGTATTATTGTTCTTATTTATTCTATATATTAAAACTAGAGCCATAGCTAATCAAAAGAATGGAATATGTCAATCCTGAAATAAGTAATTTGCGAATACAAAGGATGTATAAAGAATTTCAGAATTATGATCTTTTTTTATAAGTCAAATTTTAATAAGGGAGAAAAATTAAAGTATGTATTGCACTTTACAGAAAGCTTTCTCCCCAAATATGTTCTGATTTAAACCATGCATTAATTGCATAAATGAAGCATTCTTTTATTACTAGAGGCCCAGCACATGAAATTGTACATGGGTAGGGTCCCTAGACCTACCTAGCCTGTGATTGGGGCCATCTTCCGCCCATTTGCTAGTCCCTAGTCCCGCCCCACCACTGACACCCACCCCAGTTCCCGTGGTTCCCCATTGGCCATTCAGCGATTGGAGCCTTCGGGCTGTGGGGAGGGACAGAAAGGTGGTCAATGCACCTCATAGCAACTGGTCGATTGGTCGTTCTGGCCATTATGCTGTTATGGTCACTGCCCTTTTATTATACAGGATTATTTGTCTGGTCTAAGAACGTCTAAAGGTTCTGAATTCTGTTCCCTAAAATATAGGTCAGGTTACTTTTGAGGTACATGGGACTTGCAATTTGCTTGAGAATTTCCATCATCTTTTCTTGCTACCCCCATTTTCCTACCAAGTCCAAACACTATATTGCAAAATAAAATAAAAATAAAATAAAACAAAACAATAGTTAATTTGGTAGTATAGGAATGTGAAGGTCCAATCTTAGTCACATGAACCTCTCCTCAGTGCCTGTGTATATCATTCTATTGGCCTTTCACTCAAATAATTCTATAATACTATAAAATATAATTATAATAATTTAATATTATAGCATATTATGCATGGTGCTGGATAACTGAATCCATTTATTTTAAATCAAAATTTCATTGGTTTATTTTTAAAATTTCTCTGATTTCTTCTCTTTAGATCTACCTATTCATTCACTCATTCACTTATTCATTCAACAAACATTTACTGATTTTTTTCCCCCCTGTGCTACAAGTTATGCTAGGCCCTGGAGTTATCAGATGAATAGATCCCTGTCTTTAAAACACTTAAGTTTAATTGGAAAAACTGATTTGCAGGTAAAGATGTGAATCAGATTGGGGTTAGAGGTATATGAAACATTGTAAAAAATGCAGGTTGCAGTAGGTGAGCCTTTGGGGAACTGGGTTTCTTTGAGAAGTCTGAGACATAATACAAGCTCTCCATATGGGGAAACGTAGGAAGGATTCTTCTCACAGAGGGAATAGCCTGTGCAAAGATGTAATTGCTTCTTGAAATAGCATGGGGTTTACACCATTTGGCTATGACTGGAAGTCTTATTAGAGGGAGATAATGACAGTAGATGAATAAGGGCAAACTGGGGCCAGGTTGTGACAGTGCTTGTATGCTAAGTAATTTGGAATTTATCCTTTAGGTCATAGGGAGCCATTGATGGTGTTTAGTTGGTAAAGTGCTATTATTAGATTTGACAACAGCATGGAAAATGAAAGACCCTGGAAGGCCAACCAATTTAGAGGCTGCTAAAATATTTTAGGAGAAACTACTTGAAGTGATTACAGCTGAGGGAATGCGGATGAAGTTTTATGTTCAATGGGTATTTAGCAGAATAAATGAGAGATCTGTAAACTTGAAATAGAGAATCATTAGTGGTTGAGTTGTAATACTTGAAGTGATTACAGCTGAGGGAATGCAGATGAAGTTTTATGTTCAATAGGTATTTAGCAGAATAAATAAGAGAGATATGTAAACTTGAAATAGAGAATCATTAGTGGTTGAGTTGCAAATATCAAGTGAAATATTTACATTGTTATCTACTTAGAGAGGGGAAAAACTCTATTTTGATTACATTAATTTCATATATATTTGTACTTTTTTTAAAGAACAAAAAATACAAATACTAAGCATAGCTAAGAGATTATTTTTAAAAGCTCTGTTTTGATGAGTGATGCATTGATTTTAACAAAAGGGTCAGCACAAAAGGAATTCTAAGGATGTTTAAACACTTCCTCTTGTCTCTCTTCCTAAAGAGCATTCAGAACACCTGATAGTTTACCTTAGAAAGATGGCATAGGAGTGGATCTGTCCTCTTCCACTTTCTCTTGAGCTATAAAATATGTCCAATGAGACTTGGAAATTTCACAGTGTTCTTCAGATTTAAATGTTTAGTTTAAAAATTGTTATATGTTTTTATAAAAAACAGAATGATTCTAAACACAATGAGTCCAAGTAATAATATTCTTCTTGTGGATCTATGTATTTGGGATTGGTTTCTTACCACTCCCAAACCACAACCCTGCTCATAGAATTTTAGGCTTCGAATTTGGATAAGAACTAATAAACCTTTGCTGGAGTACAGATTTTTAAGTGAAAGGAAATTTTCATATTGGAGAAAGCAATCCCTTAGGATCTTAAAGAAAGCTTGGGGAACCGGAGGATAAGGTGGTTTGGGGTGGGATCTGTTGCTAAATAGCGATTTCACCCTGAAAATGATATGTAACTTCCCTAGCTCCTATTGTCTCATCTATAGAAATAAGAGTGTTGGAAAAGGAGATATCAAAG